CCTAACTTAGAACCGTCTTTGCCAACTTTGCTCAGAGGCCTCCTGAGGTGGTGAGAGTGGCCCAGGGACTGTCCAGGTGCTGGGTGTGAGCTCAGATCACGGGATTTCTCTTCTCAGTGTGCACTGAGCTCCCCACGTCCATGATGTCATGGACCCAGCAGGTGTCACTGATGTGTGGCTACTGACCCTTGGGAAGCCCACAGTGCTGTGGGGGTTCAGGCAGGTGTGCAGCCATCACCTAGAAACATGTCTTCTCCAGGGACAAGTGATTGACAGTGACCAGCACCAGTCAGTCTCTGCCCTCTTACACTCAGGTCTCCTGCCAATTGGGGAGGATTTCATCTGCTGAGTAGTCACTGGAGGTTGGTGTAGACCAGTGAGTCTCAGCCAAGGGCCATTTTGCCATCCAGGGGACATCTGGCAGCGTTTGGAGACACTTTTGATAGTCGCAGGTGGAGAAGGGAGTTCTACTGAACTTAGGAGGTAGAATCCCAGATGAAGCTCAACACCCCACAGCACACAGCCCCCCAAGGATGACCAGCCCCAGTGTCAGTGGAGAGCCCTGCTCTGCGCCCTTCTCTGACCTCCCCAGAGCTTCCCCTCACCCAGCTCCTTCCCACCCCTCTCCGAACCTCAGCCCCCTCCCCACTCCCCACGTTGGCCCCATCTCAGGCCCCTCCCCTTTCATCTTCAGTTGCTTTCTCTGAAGGTGCCCTCTACCCAAGGTTAGCCCTCACCTGCCCTCTCAGGGGGCCCCTGTGCGCTTCTGGCAGGAAGCGACCACTAGAGGGCGTGCGCGCTCTTCCTGGAGCTAAGGTGAGCCTCTTTGTCCCCTGAGACCAGTGCAGCTGCCTTTCCTGCTCTAGCCCCAGGCCTGCAGATTATCCCAGGAGGAAATCCCTGGGACAGGCACCAGAGACTCCACGGAAGAAGCTCCTACAGGAGGCGGGCAACATGAACTGGTGAACCTGGAACCGACGCCGGAACCATCGCCAGTGCCCAGGTCAATGGGGAGGGGGAGGGTCCCAGACTTAGTGGCTGGACACTCAGGGCCCTGATGCCCCGTCCTGTGTGGCCACTGGGGGAAATGGCTGTAAGCCTGTGTCCCTAAAGGCTGTGTCACCTAAGATTTGTATAAATAGGTGTCAGCAGGGCTGCTGTGGAACATTCTAGACTGGAACTTCTACAATGGGAGATGGGTCCTCCCAGGTATGTTCACTTGGAAGAATCAKGAGGGATGTGACAGTCACCATACATAGATGAAGGTGCCTGAGGGAGCAGGAGATATCTGGTCCTCCCCTGAGTGGGGACCAGGAAGTTGAGGGTGTGTGGTCCTGCCCACTCACCTCAGCAGGGGCCATTGCTGGTTGTCTGTGGGGGACTGGGCTTCCCACCACCCCCTTGCAGGGCAGAGGAGGATCTGGAACCTTCCCCTAGAGTCAGACAGTGGAGGAAGCAGGTGAGTTAGGAGATGGAGGTGGGAGCTCTTGGTTGATGGGCAGCCAGGAGGCGCCCAGGCTCTGAGTGCTGCAGCTGACAGTGGTCAGAGTGGTCCTCTGGGAATCCAGCCTTGTCCCTGCAAATGTTCAGGAACTTCCCACCTCTGTGCTCCTCAGTTCCCTTCCTGAGCTCCTAGCCACAGCCACCCTCACAGCTGAGGCCCTGGGTCCTACACCAGCACTTTGTCCCCATCTCACTGCAGCTCTGTTTGGCTGCCCACCTCTCTCCTACCCCCAGGTCTTCTGAGTGGCTGTCCTTACACCCCTGTCCCCACCAGGGTAAATGGCCAGCTGAAGGCAGAGTCCTTCTTCCTGGTAGGTTGTGAAACTGGCACTGGGGCCCCTGTGTCCTGATTATCAGTGAGTCCCCAGGAGGTGGCAGTAGCTGAGCAGAGCTGGAGAGCCAGGGAGTGGGTGGGTGGGACCCAGGAATGACTGAACTTGCTGGTGTAGATGGCAGGTGGCTTGCGCTGTGGGAACAGGGAATTTAAAGGGAAATGTGAGGTGTTTTCTTATTTCTTAGTTTTGGGGGTTTGGAGCTGCAGGTTCCCCTGAATGTCCCTGTCAACCTCAGTGCTATGCATGAATGGCACAGACTTCAGGTTCCACACTCTGATGCAGGTTGGTACTGGGAGCACCATCAGCCTGGCCCAGGGACCCTCTGCATGTGCAGCTGCTGCAGACAGCTGTGCTCTCTGTTGGGAATAGTTCTCCTTCCTCCTTGGGGGTCAGAACTTGGGTCTGTGTTGCCCGACCCTCCCAGCAGACCCACACGTCTCCCCCTCTCAGTCCTCACAGAAGTCCATGAGCTGACTGCCCAGGGGCATCGTGCCTGCCATTTGCTGTGCGCTTCTGATACCTGCCTGGCATAAGATCTTGCAAGTACCCTGAGGGGAGGGTGTGTGTGTGTGTGTGTGTGTGTGTGTGTGTGTGTTTGGCACCTGCACAGGAGTGTGCTATCAGGGTGTGGGAATTTTAAAATCATTCAAAATATATTTGTTTTTTTTTTCAAAATGTCAACAGTTTTTAGTAAGCAAATAAATATAGTTATTTATGTATATTTATTAATCAAATAATATAATTGATACAGAAATATTTTGRAATTAATTTTGATAAGCTTAATAGAAATAATTTGGTTTTTCAAAGTCAAAAAATGTTTGGAGCAGGACTCGTACTACAATGAATAGTGGTTCCTGAGGTAGGTGGACTTGTATGCTTCACAGCCCCTTCCTTCTCTGCCTTTTGCCACTGAGCTCACTGTTCCATCTATTAGGAGTGTGTTCCCCTTCCTCCTATTTATTCTGGGCTTGGCCATGAGACTTGCTGAGGCTGATGGGCTACCGGGAGAGATGATCATGCCCCTCCTGTGGGCTGAGCCTGTGTTTTCCCCTAGTGCCCCMCGAGTCTGGCAGATCAGAGAAGGGCAAAGACACGTTTCATCTCTGAAACAGAAAGACCAGGCCTCAGGGACCTGCATCCTGAGGAACAGGCAGGTGCTGCGCTGCCCCCCCCCCTTGTCTCCCGGGAAAAGAGCAACAGCCTCCCCTGGACACAGGCTGCAGGATGTGCTGACGCTGCAGGGCCTGGTCCCCAGGTCTGGCTCCAGGGTGACTAGGCTGGGTCTTCTGCACAGGGATGGATTTGGCAGTCATCATGGGAAACTGAGGTCGGCACCTCCTGTCATACATGGAAGAGCAGGCCTCATCCCTTGTCTCCAGTCCTGGGGACCAGGGACATTCCTGATGCATCTCTCAGACATGTGAGTTAGGAGGTGGAGGTGGGAGCAATTGGTGATGGACAGCCAGGAGCATTCAGAGGCTCAGCTTCTCCTGTCACAYCTCATAGAGGACATGGCTGCTCTAGGGCTGTTCAGGGGCACTTGGAGGAGGACCCAGGGAGTGGTCTGGGCGGGGAGGGGGGAATGGGCACACAGGCCCAGCTGAATAAAGATGTCTCCTCTTGGTCAGCAACCCCAGAATATGCCCTGGGAGGGCCCTGGAGCCCCACTTTTCTCAGAGTCCACTGTCCCATGGTCCTCTCTGGGGAGAGGGTGGCTTCTTTGACTGGCTTCTCCCATCTGGCTTCTGTGCTTTCCTCAGGCCCAGGACCTGCCCTGCACCAGAACGGTCTCACCAAGCCTCCCCTCCCACCAAGCACATCCCACGGTCCCCTCCCAGCACCACAATCAGGTGACCACACACAGACTCCCCAGAGTCCCCCTTGCATGTGATCAGAGTCCTGAGTGTTCAGGGGGCCTGAGGGATACAGTAAGAGCTCAGCTCAAGGGGCCTACCTGCCTAGGTGAGAGTGCTGGGGTGTTCATTTCTGGGGGTCCTGAGTCCTGTCACCAGCCCGCCATGGGCTGTGTGCGTGAGCTATGCGCATTTGAGCRTCTGAGGGGACTGGCCTGACGTTACTGCCTGATTGAGCTGTGCCACGTATGTGTGCCTTCGACGTACCTGTGCCTTTTCTCTCGCTCTGCCTGGGATCCCACACAGCACCTGAGGTGGGTGTGGCTTTCCAAGATGTCAATCTGCTGACCACAAGACATCACCAAGCCAGACTGCACCCTTCGAAACCCAATCCCTTGCCTTATTTAGATGGAACTTTCTCCAGTGTCTTTTCCCCAATAAATACACGGTTTTGGGTGTGCTCTCTCTCTTGCTCCTTCCAGCACTGGAGCTGRCCCTTGGGGTCGCTGAGCCATCCTGCCTTAGAAACTTATGTTTGTGTGCTGCGTGGTTTCTTCGCCATTTTCATAGTTATTGATCCAGCTCATATCGCCAGTCTGGCCAGTTGGTGATATTCTCCCTTCCCTTGAGCTCCCTTTAGCCATCTCCACGGGGTAGGACCCATTCCTATGCTCCCGACAGAGAAACCGAAGTGCTCATGTGCTCCCTGTTGACAGGTGTGGAGGGAGGGCATGGAGGTCACCACACTGGCCATGTGGTGGAGGGTCTGAAGCCTGGGGAGTAAAGAGTGTCAACCTGCCATGCAGGGCAGGGAACATAGAGGCAGCTTCATATCAACTGGAGCTCAAAGGTACAAGTTTCCAGAACCCTTGTGGGGAGAGAGATCCCAGAGGGAGAGCCCTGGGCCCTGGGGAGGCCTGAGGCTGGGCCCCCTGTGGATTACCTGTGGTCCCTCGATCCTAGTGAGTGAAGACACTCCCCTTTTTTTTTTTTTTGGTACCAGGAATTGAACCCAGAGGTGCTCAACCACTGAGTCACATCCTCGACCCTTTTTAATGTCTTTTTATTTAGAGACAGGGTCTCACTGAGTTGCTTAGGGCCTCACTAAATTGCTGAGGCCCATTTTGAACTCATTCCTCCTGCCTCAGCCTCCTGAGCTGCTGGGATGACAGGTGTCAACCACCACACCCAGCTCAGTGCAGGTCTTGATAGGATTTTCCATTTTATTGTACTGACTATTCACAATAGTTTTATAAAGCAAGAGAGTTATAACCATTGTTTTTATAAGGAGAACATTTTTATTTCTGATTTAATTCATAGCAGGGGATAAAGCTAGTTTAAGAGGGCCGCTCCTGGTGGAAGTGGCGGGGTTGRAGGCCTCACACTGATACTCCCCGGCATCCTCCTGTCTGACGGGGTCTGTGCGGAGGGTCCTGTGGTCCGGGGACAGCTGCATCCTGTCTGTGAGCTGCAGAGTCTGGCTGTTGAGGATCCACGTGATGGAGATTCCAGGGCCACCTGAGAGGCGGGTCATGGCCACAGGGCCCTCTTCTGTGATGCTGACATTGCTGGCCAGGATGGAAGGCTGTGTCACAGACTCTGTGAGTCAACTGAGGAGAGGACCCACTGATAATGGGCCTGCGGCCTGGGGCCTGGGCCAGGCTCTTTGCTCAGAGACCTCAGCCAGCTCTGGTGCCCACAGTRAGCTGTGTAAGGTTGGCCAGACAGTGGCCCTGACCCTCTGCAGAGGTTGAGCGTCTTTGTTCAGATGATTATCTGTAAGGAGAGGGCAGCCCCTCCTTCTGATCCCAGATTAACCAGGGTGACTCTTGTCTGGACCCCTGAACATCTTTGTAGAATCTGCACCAGGCTCTTCTCAGTCCATGTGCCCAGCAACCTCATCATCAGGTAGGAATTTTTTTTCCTATACACTCCTGTTTGACCTTTTTGTGATTTTCTCAGGTCCTGTTCCTTATTTGAATTGGGGTGTATTTTGAGGAGATCCGGTTTGGCAGCCCTATCCATCTCTGGGGCCAGGAAAGTTTTACATGAAATACAATGGCATTTACTTTTTCTAAAATCATCTGTTGGAGAACAAAGATGGCCCAGAATAGTCTTACGACGGCAGAGTTGGACAAGTTCCAATCTAAAGGATTTCTCCACCTAAGAGGACTTTGACTTCCTGGCCTGTGGATTGAATGTCACGATGAAGGAACTCTTTAGTGGGAAATAGTCACGGTTTGAACAAAAGATTGGCACTTTTAGGAAGAGAGGGAAATCACCTTCATGTAATAAAGGCCACGTGTGAAAATCTCACGTAATACTCAGTGGGGAAATACTGAGAGTCTTGACTCTAAGACCAGGAACAAGACAAGGCCGTCCCTTGTATTTTACCACTTCTCTTCAACGTAACTGTGGAACAATTCGACAAAGAAAACAAAGCCATTTTAATTGATGGGAAGAAAATAATCTTTGTACACAGGTCACATGGTGTAGGTGGGGTCTGGGCATCTCTGCTCTGCAGACCACAGAGAGAAGATTGCCCTGTGGTACCTTTGGTTCCTGCCAAGGCGTCTTTCCACCTGAGCTGGCCTCTCACCTCCCACCAACCTGAGTCCTGAAGAACCAGGCAGAGTGGGTATCCTGGGCAGATGCAGGAGGATCTGAGGGCTCAGAGGATGTGGGGCTACCTGGGCTGTGTCTGGGAAAAGCACAGAGTTTCTGACATGTGACTTTAGTTGCAGTATTTGTTCATGGACAGACCTGGCACAGGAAGTCAGAGCCTCTGCACCTCCTGATCCTCACTGACTGGCTGCCTACCTGGCCTTGAATCGTGGTACTAAGTCCCTCCAACTGCACAGATTCCCCTGCGTAGCCTTTTCAAAGCTGTCCTAGAGGTGGGTCATGATGGAGACTGGGAGTTAAAGGAGAAATAGCACATGGAACACCAGGCACAGGTCTGAAAGTCTGGTAAATTCCAAGGCCACAGGACCTTGAGCAGGGGCAGTTCTACCCAGGCTTTGAATAGTGGCTGACCCATGAAAAATTGAGCAGACTCCAAGGAATGTTCTAAAAAGAGAGARGGGGCAGGCAGGCAACACTGGCAGGCTTTGGAGCAGAACCATGTTCTCTATCCTTGGTTTTTCATGTCCCTTCTCTCATTGCAAAGTATTGTGGGGCTGACAATGCCTTGCCAGGGTAATTTTTCCTGCTTGGGGGGAATAAGCCACTTGAGAAAATAAACTCTGAAGTAAAATGAAGAAATAGAGGCAAAGTTAAAAAATAGGCTTTAAAAGCAGAGTGCCTGATAGGATCTTCTAGTCCTTGTAGGAGCTGGAACAAAACTATTAAAAAAATGGCTCTGATGGTTTATTTAAGGGGGTACATCAAAGGCAGGGATAAGGTTTCGGGGTTGGAGTCTTGCTTCATGGTGTCTTGTAGTCAACAGGTTGATTGGCATCTTGGCATGCTACATCCATCTCTGAGAGGCTGTGTGGCTGCAGCGGGTGACTCCATCTCTGGTACTGTGTGGGACCTGGCAGAAGTGAACAGGACTCACATATATCTGGGTGATCTCACCAGCTGGATCGCCCCTGGAAGTTCCCAAATACCAGAGTTTCCTGCTCAGTGGCCTTCCATGCCTATTTAGTCCACAGATGGCTCTCGACAGTGGAGGGCAGGTGAGGACCTTGTGGATCTTACCTGAAATACAGGTGAATGAACAGACACAGAAGAATGAACCAATGGAAATCCGGCCCTGATGGGCCACATGTGTTTATCAGATATGGGACAGAAATTTGAGGAGCAGCTAAGTTTTTTTCCCATATGGGAAAATCATTATCAATACCCAAGGGTCTGACTTATTGGAAGGATATTTCGAGGCCTGGGTCTTGGCCCCTGGGAGGAACATGGAATTTATACAATGGTCAGGAATCTGCATCCCGATCCTAGTCTTTGAAGGGATTGTGGATCATTGGCTCATTCCTATCTCCAGCAGCTATTGAAGTTGGTAACATTTGGACCTGGTGCTGAGTGCAGGGTGTAGAGTAGGCAGCGAGAAAACAAAGTTCTCCCCTTTATACCATGAAGCTGTGGTGGCCTATCAAGAAAGGATCAAGAAAGGATCAAGGACTGGTCTTGGGGTCCATGGCCACCTAATAAGGGCTCACGTGTGGAGGGGAGGACGGTGCTGTGGCTGCACCCAGACCTGGTATGACTCTGACCTGCCAGTCTTGGTCTATGGGACTCTAATTCAGTGACTTGAGTCCTGTGCCCAAGTTTTCCCTCAATAAGGTAGGATAAATGATATTTGACTTCAGATTGTCTTTGAGTTGGCCTTAAAATATTCATAGCACCTGACTTAAAGCTTCRGATAGAGGAGCTGATAAATAAATGGAATCTATTATTATGAGATTCCAAGAGAGAGGCTTCCTGTGCACGATCCTGCAAAAGAGCCTGTCAGGGCAACCTCTTGCCTCTGCTCATCCCCCTAGAGATGCTGACCTCTCCAGAGCATCCCCTGAGTCCCCTAGGTCAGTCTTCTAGTGGCTGAGAAGACTCGCCATTGCTTTTGCTCAGGTGTGGCTTTGGGGGCTGAGCCCTGGCTGGTCATCAGCTCCAGTAATCCTGGGACTCTGTAAGATGTAAATGGCTGCTCCTCGTCAGCTCTGTCCAGGGGGTCCTGGCCCTCAGGACCTGGAGTCAGGAGCCTGGAATAGAGAGGCCTGGGTCAGGAGCTTCCCAGAACTCTGCTTCTCTGTGAGGGYCACAGGCAGCCCCTCAGGGGATTAAGTCAGCACTGACTCAGTCTTTCTCAGAGCCATGTCCATGGGGAGAGGCCAGGGAGGCTGGACTGAGACTGAGCTTCACCTGCGGAGTCACCTGGCAGCCTGTCCACTCTGCATCGAGTGTCTGCAGGGTGGATTCAGAGAGAGGAATCCAATCTATTGAGGTTTGTCTCCACTGTGTGTGTCCTGCACTAAAAGCTCAAACCACAGCAAAGGCACACAACATAGAGGAAGAAGTAGGCCCAAACTGACAGTCGTGTGTGTGTGTGTGTGTGTGTGTGTGTGTGTGTAGTGGAATCAACCCCAGCCCACCCCCAGGGGTCACAGAGAACCACTCACAGTATGCATAGAACTGTCCAGGTGCTTCCATAGAGAGTCATTCACGATATACACAGATGTGTCCAGATGCTTCTTCAGCCTGAAGATCGCTACTTAGGGTTTGCAGCGTGTAGAATCCCGTGTCCTCCAAGGTGACCTTCTGGAACAGCAGGGATCCATTGGGGTATACCGTCTCTCGACCACTGTAGGCAGGCCCTGGGATGATTCCTCGAGTGGCTGTTAGGTATATCGCGATTTGATGGCTGTCAATGCCCCTTTCCCCTTTGTACCAGGTGTAGCCTTTGACGTTCTCTGACACATTGTGGGCAAGTAGAAGAACATYGGTCCCTTCGGCAGCAGTGAAGGGCACAGATTCAATAGCAAGTTGGGCAGTGGTGGGCAGGTTCCAGAAGGTTAAAGGTGAGACTAGAACTGAGGGGAGAGAAATCCATCAGTTTTTGGTGGGGAAATGGAGCTCTGGGTCCTTAGCAGGTGTCTTCATCCCTCAGCCTCGGAACCTGGAGTGAGCAAGTGTGTGTGTGTGTGTGTGTGTGTGTGTGTGAAGGTCAGCAGTGTGACTCATTTCTTAAGCACCCCTGAACTTGTCATTTCCTTTGGAATGGTATTCCCTGGGTGTCTGCAAGGCTGGCCCCTCAAGCCTGCAGATCCCTGCTCACCCTCAGGCTGTCCTGGGCACCGGCCTCCCCTGACCATCTCCTTGCAGACCCTGGGTCTTCCCTTTTGACATTTCCCAGCTCTCTGCCCTGYGTGCCTCTTTTCAGCCCCTCCTCCATCTCTTTGCTGGCCTGTCTTCCTGCCCACTGGAAGGAGACTCCATGACACGGGGACTAGTCTGATCTTTTTTGTGGCCCTGGTGCCTGGAACAGGCTCAGACACCTGTGGATGAGTGAAGCAGAGTCCCAGCCCTGAGTGTCCAGGTGTCTGCCAGACTCTGAGGTTGGTGCCTACAGACAGTGTGCGTGCCCTGACACAGTTGTTAGTATCAATTTTCAAAATATATTGGCCAGTGATGATTGAATTGGGRAAGAATAATAGAACTTATTTTCCCCCTTCGTCAGTTCCGGGTGACAGAGTTTCCCTTTGCTGGGGCTTCTGTTCTGCYGTTTTGTTCTCTCTCCTCAGGCTCCAAACAGAAGCCCGTGTCCCTGTGAGGTCCTCGTCCTCCCCAGGAGACCTGGGCCAGTCTCTGCTCCTGTCTTTCCTCCTACTCCCAGGGAACCATCTCTTTACCTGCCAGCAGAAGCCCCTGCCAGGAGACATGTCCTCTGTGGGGAGAGGCTGAGGGGGGCTCCATGGTCTCTGCGGCCTGCTCTGTCCTCCCTGTGTGGCAAAGAACCGGGTTTCCAGACCTGTTCCCCAGCAGGCTGCTCAGGCYGCTCAGCTCTGCTGTCCTCTCTGGCTGAGCCTCCTCCCAGGGCAGGAGCACTTCCCAGGGTCACATGGGCTGGGGGTGGGACTGCCTAGGAAGCCTCTCTGTCCCCTCCCCTTTCAGTCTTGCCTCTTCAAGTGTCAGTACCCCAGACCCCAGACCCCACTTGAAGAAGCAAGGCTGATGGAGATCTTGTCCCCTGAGAGAAACCCTGGCTCAACCTGACCTGGCCTCTGCTGTACCATGGCCTTGGGGCTGTGATCGCCACACAGGGGACCCCTGGGGTCCCTAATGTTGGTTGATTTTCTCTGTGACACAGAAAAAAAACCTCTTTGCCTAGGTCCATCTTTGCAGTATTCCCAGTCGCTCTGGGACGGTAAATGAGCTTCCAGCAAAGGGGGGTCACACAGATGACTTTGGGGTAGAATGGGGCCTCCTAGTGATGACCAGAGAGGGGGGCTTAGCCACAGGTGGATCTAKTTGTGGACTCTATTCTGTTCCATTGRTCCTTTTGATGATTTTTATACCAGTGTCACACGCTCTTGATTATTATGGCTTTCTRATAAGTCTTGAAGTGACATCATTTAGTCTTCCAAATTATTTTTTATTTCGGAGTCGTCTTGGTATCTAGGTCCTTTGTATTGCCAGGAGAATGTTTTAATTAGCTTGTCAATTTCTTTATTTTTAAAGGCTCCTGGGACATGGATAGGGATTGCATCAAATCTCTAGACTAATTTGGGGACTATTGGCATCTCAGTGTTAGGGGACAGACAGATGAGGAGGATGGTGGATGGTGGTTCTTGGCCACACAGGGAGGACAGAGCAGGCTGCAGAGACCATGGAGCCCCCCTCAGCCTCTCCCCACAGAGGACATGTCTCCTGGCAGGGGATTCTGCTGGCAGGTAAAGAGATGGTTCCCTGGGRGTAGGAGGAAAGACAGGAGCAGAGACTGGCCCAGGTCTCCTGGGGAGGACGAGGACCTCACAGGGACACAGGGCTTCTGTTTGGAGCCTGAGGTTAGAGAACAAAACAGCAGAACAGAAGCCCCAGCAAAGGGAAACTCTGTCACCCGGAACTGACGAAGGGGGAAAATAAGTTCTATTATTCTTTCCCAATCATCACTGGCCAATATATTTTGAAAATTGATACTAACAACTGTGTCAGGGCATGCACACTGTCTGTAGGCACCAACCTCAGGGAATAGTTCTAGAAATTGGGCCCCCTCTGCTGACCCCCACACRCTTTCTTTTCCAGAAGCAATTTCCCTGCCGCCCTGCCTAAGTGGACAGGCTACGTCCCATTCCTCAGCAAGCTGCCTGCTATCTGCTGGAGAAACGCAGGCCCGAAAAAATGTCCATAAGGGGAACCCAAGTTACACTGAAGGGGAGATTTTTGTGACTCTTTCCACAGACCAGATCCCCAGATTCAGGGAGATAAGGAGAATTCCTCTGAATTATGAAATCTGTAAGATTCATGATTAAGCATCCAATTAGAACTGGTCAGCATGGGCCCAGGTGACCTAGAGTTGTTATGGCAATGGGGACTTGAAAGTCTGATGTCATCGTGATGTCAGACCCTTGAGGTGAACGTGGGCAGGACTCTGTGGGATCCCCAATAAAACTGGAGGCACCTTGTCCCTCTCCTAAGAGGACACTCTCTCCCTTGAGAGTGTCCCCTTTCCCTTTCCCCACCCCTTCCATAACTCGTGCCTGTGACTCTGAGCGACACGTCTGAGATCTTTCACTCTTGATGGCAAGAAGCGAGGTTAAAGGGGGGGGGTCTTCACGCTGCCTCAGTTTCTCCGAAGGCCCCAGCTCTGTAACACCATGAGCAAGGCATAATCCTCCCAAGTATAATTCCTCTCAGCTTTTCATCAGTGTTTTGTAGTTTTCAGTACCCAGGTTTGGGACATATTTTTAAAATGAGATTTATCCCTGTACATTTCATTTATTTTTTATTTTTTATAATTTTTTTAAGTGAAAGAGGAGAAAGGAGAGAGAGAGAGAGAGAGAGAGAGAGAGAGAGAGAGAGAGAATCTTTTTAAAAACATATTTATGTTTTTGGGTATAGATGGACACAACACAATGCTTTTATTTTTATGTGATGCTGAGAATCGAACCGGAGTCCCACCCGTATTAGGTGAGCGCTCTACCACTGAGCCACAATCCCAGCCCACATTTCATTTTTTTTAATGATAAAGGTGGAGAATTTATAATCTGAAAATCTGACATCGGAAGTGCTTCAAAGTCTGAAACTTTTTGAACACTAGCTTTTCAAATTTCAGTCATGGGGGCATTTTGAAATTTTGATTTTCTAATTAGGGATGCTCAATTGGCAAAGTTTATGCAAATATTAAAAAAATCTAAAAAATTGCAAAATCTGAAAGCATTTATAAGGGACATTCAACCTGTATTGTATAATATGATGAGTTAAGGTCTTACTTGTAATGACATTGTATTCATGATATAATATTGCTTTTTAACTTTCTATTTCGGATTATTTGATAACTAGTGTAGAAACACATTGATTCTTGTATACTGGTCTTGTATTCTGCTACCTCAACTACACCTATCAATTTGAATTTTTTTTTTAAACTATTTTGTAGGATTTTCTGTCACGTTTGATAGAAAATCTGGATGCTTTTACATTTTTTCCTTGGCTTTTTGCCCTGGTGAGTGTCTCCCATCCTGCACTGATGAGAACTGTAAATGGTCCAAACACAACTGGACAAGAGCCATGCTCCTGACTGTATTAGAAAGCTTCCCATTTTGCACCATCCAGTATGGTCCCATCTGTGGGGTCTCTGTAGATGTTTTTCATTAAGTGAATTCCTTTCTGCTGAGAGTTTTTGTTTTATCAGAAATTAATTTGAGTTTAAGCAAATGCTTTTTCTACTTATATTGAGATAATCACATGGTCTTTCATATATATATACACACACACATATATGTGTATATATATATATATATATATATATATATATATATATAGTTGGACACAATACCTTTATTTTATTTGTTTACTTTTATATGGTGTTAAGGATTGAACCTAGTGCCTCGCTCGTGCTAGGTGAGTGCTCTACCACCGAGCCACAACCCCAGTCCCTGGTCTTTCTTTTGTACTTTGTTAATACGGTAAATTAACATTGGTTGATTCTCTAAAGTTAAGCCAATTTTGAGTGCCTGGGATAATCTCCAAATGGCCATGAGGTCGTATCCTTATTGGATTCAATTTTGTTAAGAAATGTTACATCTATGACTATGAGGGACATTGGAGAGTAGTTTGTTTGTTTGTTTGTAGAGTCTTTTTCAAGGTCAACATCCAGAAAAGAGAGGTTGACCTTTAGTTTCCACAAACCTCAATTGCTCATTCAGTTTCTCTCTACTTCCTTTATCTCCATCTCCGATTTTCTTTTGATCCTATTTTTTTTCACTTCTCTCTCTTCCTCTTCCTCTTTTCTCTTCCCTCTTCTCTCCTAATCCATTTCTCCTTACCTTGGCAAATCACATTAGTAGATTTTTTGCAGGGGGTGGGTACCAGGGGTTGAATCCAGCGGGTGCTTTATCACTGAGCAACACCTCCAGCCACCTACCCGCTTTTATTCCTTTTTTTTTTTTTT